CCTACTGCCATCTGACTCTCCCCTAGTCTTCAATCATTTAAGAAGGGCCTTTAAACCCATCTCTTCAGGAAAGCTTATGGCCTCCCAGAGTAACCTCTACCTTACATACCTGTCTCCTGCTCTCTCCTATGGGACAGTGCTTTGCTCTCTCCTCCAGCTCTGCTTCACTCCTACTTGATATTTCATGTCCTAATGTTTCTAATACCCCACCTCCTATAGTCTGTAAGCTCATTGAGCAGGGTCCTCTTCAACCTATTGTTCCTGTAAGTTTTCTTGTAATTGTCCTATTTATTGTTACATCCCCCCTCTCAAAATATTGTAAAGCGCTACGGAATCTGTTGGCGCTATATAAATGGCAATAATAATAATAATAATAATAATAATCACAATGGGTAAGACCAAGAAATATAGCTGTAATGAGCAGCAAAAGGTTGTTGAGCTTTACATAATGGGAAGTGGCTATAGGAAATAGCATACACTTTGAAAATGCCCTTTTCCACCATCATAGTAAAAATTAAGAAGTTCCTGTCAATCAGAAATGTTATGAATCAACTTGGAAAAAGTTGATATAGATGCAAATATCGATCTTTGGTGTATTTAGGGGAGCCCAAATTTGTTTTTACAAGTGCACTTGGAGGAGCGTGAATTAGACACCAGACACCTGTTGGTATTCAAAATAAGCCTCTGCCGTTTATATTTCAGTTGTGTTTTTATACATTAAAAAGTAAGTGCTTACGTGCAAATACTCATTGGACAGTAGTAGGAAGAGAGTGAAAGGGTGAAAGGAGTACAGATAAGACATAGGGGTGAACGTCATGTACATATAACAAATAAGTTCAGAGAAAGAGAAAGAACAGACTGATTGAGAAGAGAGACAGCTCAGGAGGGGGCAATCTGCTCCTGGAACTAGACATATGGTCTTAAGAGTCATTTTAAGCATCAAGCATTTCCTGAGTCCAAGTTAGCCAATTTTAATATAGGATATCTAATATGACACTTATAAGCTTGAACCTTGGAATCAATGTAAATTCTATCACAAAGTCAAGTGTCTATGTTGTCTATGTTGTGCATTGTGAAGAGGATGGTTTGAGTGGCCAAAAAATCTCCAAGAATCACAGCTGGAAAATCGCAGACGTTAGTTGCGTCTTGGGGTCAGAAAGTCTTCAAAACTACAATCCAACATAACCTACTTCTCCACAAGCTGTTTGGAAATGTTTCAAGAACAAAGCCTCTACTCTCATCTAAAAATAAACTCAAGCATCTTCAGTTTGCCAAACACTACTGGAACTTCAAATGGGATCGGGTTCTATGGTCACATGAAACCAAAATTGAGATTTTTGGCAATAAGCACCAAGGTGAGTTTGATATACACAGAGAGGTAGCTATATGGAAAAGTATCTCATGCTCATGGTTAAAAATTGTGGTGGTTCTTGTATTTTGGGGCTGTGTTTCTGAAGGAGAATCTGGACATTGTGTTAGGATACATGGCATCATGGACTCTATCAAATATCAGCAGATATTAAATACAAACCTGACTGTCTCTGCCAGAAAGTTTAAAATGGGCCATAGTTGAATCTTCTAGCAGGACAATGATCCAAAACACACATCAAAATTGACACAAATGGTTTACTTACCACTAAATCATGGTCCTGCCATGGCCATCCCAGTCAGCTGACTTGAACCCTATAGAAATCTGTGAGGTGAACAGGAGAGGAGAGTCCAACAGTATTGACCTTGAGGATTTTAAGGATGTGGAGAGATTCTGTAAGGAGCAATGGTTTC